GACAAAGGTATCACACTTACAGCCGAGCTTTTGTGCACTGTGCTTACGCTCAGTGGCACAGCACATAGGAAGATGACAGCTTACCACCCACAAACGGATAGCCTTACAGAACGACTTAACAAGACGATCGCTGACATGCTTTGCATGTACGTCGACGTGCAATACAAGAATTAAGACCGAATCTTGCCGTACATCACATTTGCGTATAGTACAGCACGCCAGGAAACAATAAAAATGGCGCCGTTCGCAACTAATTCATGGCAGAGAAGTTACTACAATGCTTGACGCCATGCTGCCTTATCGTTGGAATGATTCAAAGACAGATGCCGCAGACTTCACTGATCGTGCCGAGGAAGCAAGGCAGCTTGTCCGCGTCAGGATAATCAACCAGCAGCAACTTGACACCCAACGGTACAACTTTCACTATCGATTTGTCGCTTATGAACCAGGAGAAAAAGTCTGGGTTTGGTTTCCTGTACGATGCCGAGGCCTCTGGGAGAAACTTCTATGCGGATACATTGGACGCTACTAGGTTTTGCCCTGTCTTAGCGAAGTGACATACGAAGTCGTGCCCGACGCCTCTTCCTGTTCGAAACGTCGCCAGGATCCGCCGGAGACAGTGCACGTGGCTCGCATAAAACCTTAGCATTCTGAATGATGTAAAAACACGCTAGCCGCATCTCTACTTGTTGAGCATTGGGACGACGCTCACTCTGACGGGAGGGTATTGCTGCGTGCATAGCTGCGTCTAGCTTCGAGATAGCGACGACAATGAAGGTCGTGGATTTGCACGAGAGGCACAGCGCAGGCGAGTAATTAAGACGACAATCTTAGCGGCTCTCTTTTGAGAGCGTCTGTACGAGTTCTACTCTCCTTGTTCCTAAATAAACCCCCAGTATTTTACAACCCGTGACAATAAATTTGGGAGTGTTTCCATTCCCGATGAGGTAGGCTGCGTTCTTAAGAAAGGGCCGAAGTTTTGCCTTCAGCCTGAGGTCTCTGCACATAAACTTCTGGCTCTGAACCGGCACATTTCCTTGAGTGCTGAAGAACAGGACCATGATCGTTTCCTTCTCGAGGGAGATGACACAATCCTCAGAAATAAGAGTACAGCTCGACAGATGTTTTCGACAGAAAACATTGTGTCCTTTTCAAAGAAAATGAACTATTCCTTCTCCAGTCGGACAAAAAAGGAGGCTTTGTCGTTTTACCAGAAGACCAATGCCGAGAGAGAGCCTCTTGCACTATTGAGAAGGACTTTGTCCATTCATTAGCGAACCCTACCAAGGTTAAAAGCTGTGCTGTATCTTTGTGCAAGAAACTAAATTTGTGCCAGCTAGCAAAAGCTATTGGTGAGTGCAAAGGTATTACCCTTGAAGTTTTTTTCGCAGTTAAAACACACAAGCCGAAAAGGCCATTCAGGTCTATTGTCTCGGAAAGGCACACATGGAAACTTCTGGTCAGTCCCTTCTCGTTTAATCACATAAATAGACTTTGCCTTGATGACACGTTTGCCATAAAAATTCAGCCGTGGTCACAGATTTTTTTAGTAGAAGTGCTTTTCTGTACGCCTTTAATATTGATGTTGAGAATTTATTTGCTTCTGTGCCACATGTTGAACTTGTTCCTTGTGTTTGAGAATGTGTTGATCTCAATAATAGCACTAACTTTATGAACTCTTGTGGTTTATCAATTGACAATTTCTTGTCCCTGCTTGAATTTTCTTTCTTTTAATGACTCTACCTATGTACAGTGCAAAGGCATTGCCATTGGTTCGTAGCTCCTGTTTTATGCAACATTTTTTTTTTTTTTTCATCTATTTACCACGCACTTGCTGGAAACCTTGACTGGAAACTTTGACCCAAAGGTTTTTAGACAAATTGACGATTTTTTTGTATATCTAAACAACCCTGACTCTGTGACTGCTTGTGACGATGTAAGGAATGTTTTATCATATTTATTCAGCAGGGGAAAGGCTTGACGTTTACCCATGAGTTACCTCAAGACAATCATTTGCAGTTTTGAGACATCAACCTGTCATTAAATGCTACACATTTGTGCTAGATGTACAGCCCTCGTGCACGCGAAGACCTCCTGCTTGACGAATCTGTGCCCTCGAAAACTGTAAAACCGCAAAAAGAGCCATTGCTACAATCTGTCTTTGGTCTGCGTTGTTGAAGTCGTGCAAGCACACTATGGACGACAGTTTCAGGAGCAGATTTCAAGGCAGGTTGCAGCGAGTTTCCTTTCGATGGTCTTAAGGGTCGTAACCAGTGTGTTTGAATCTCTGCTCCGGAAGCCTAAAGAATGCAGCAGACAGCCTGAGGATGGCGGAAAAAGAAACCACTGGTTCTGCCTTACATGCAAAAAATTGCCTTCTATTTGAAGAAAGTTGCTAACAGGCATAACATTCTAGTGGTCTTTTCGGCACCCAACAAGCTGTCGAAGCTTTGTGCTCGCATTTGTTCGCAAAAAGTTAACTTCTCATGGGAAAAGAAGCACGCCCGGCCAGTTCTGCGTTGCATAGTGGGTGTTATTTATGAAACTGCGTTGAGCTGTGGCAAAGTATACATAGGCCAGACTGGACATTGTGTTGATGATCGCCTTAGGGAGCAGTAAAACCTCGTTAATTCGAAATCACTGGGGCCGCAAGAAAGCTTCTAATTAAGCTGGTTTTCGAATTAACAATACATACAAAAAGTGGGATGCAAGGAACTTAGAGCTATTCAAAGTAATTAGTGCTCGTCGTTTGCTGTGCCGGCTAGCTTGCGACTCCAAAGGTCATGTTTTCTAGCAATACCTGGTCTTTATTTTGCCGTAAGCATAGAGAAACAGTGAGCCTCGCTGCTTCCACCAAAGAAAAAAAAAACGGAAAAAAAAATATGTGGTCGTAATTGACTAAAATATGCAGCTGCAGAAAACGACATCTTCACTGTAACACAGTAGTGACATGCGAGCAGAATGTCATTTGCTTTTCGTTTCGTCAGCACGTCATGATGCGACCATTTTCACATTCTTTCAATTATAATTATGAATTTATTAATGGCCAGTATGATGAAGCTCACGATGTGTTTTGGCTGGAAAAAATTATCTTTGAAACTTTCTAACTTAGTTTCCGAAGTAGATGTTGCTGGCAAGAACTCTGCCAGCAGTGCAAAGACACGAATTGCTGGAGCAACCGAGAATCGGAGGTTCGCATACATCGCGATTTCTGCAAAACTGTCCTTTATTATTTTTTTACAATTCCAGAAAAAATGGGTAAACCATGACTTGCTGACGTTCCGAGAAACATGCGATAAGCTGCCCGCACGTCATTGCATGTTGCAGTGAAGCACAGCTCGTTTTCTGCAAGTGCACGTTTTGGTTGACCATGAGACCGTTTTTTCTGTTTTTTTTTTTTTGCGCTGAAAGCAGCGATGCTGGAGTGCTTCAGCTGCCACTCATTAGTATCAATATGTTGCATTGCTTTGTGGCTATTAATATACGCCGTTCCGCGGATTCGCGGCGAAATCGGGATCTGGAACATGGCATCCGAAGTTTTCGAATTAACCGGACTGGTGCAGGCCGACGCTTCAAATTATCCACTCAAACTTACACTGCAAAATACGGGACCGCGGAAATCTTTTGAATGAAATGGGATTTCGAAATGACCAAGTCCGAATTAACGAGGTTTTACTGTATATTATCAATTAAGAATGGCATGAGTTCACACCTGCCATTTATTACATTGGGCTTCATGCGGCTGCGCACCACTGTTCCGAGAAACACGTGTTGGGACAAAGGAGGGAAACGTTAGCACGTGAAGTACTTGAGGCATATTACATACAAAGGAAGGGGAACATGTTAGCAGCTTAAGGCGCGAAAACGACACGGACGAAGAGAGACAGTACACACACACGGAGCGCCACTTCCAACAAAGATTTATTTCGAAAGAGCACAGAACATATATAGACACCGCGCGCGCCGTCACCGTGCCTTAATGCGCAGCCGCATTTAAGTAGCGTAACTCCTTTGGCGATAAAGAAATGGAGGCTACGCTGACACACAGATCACCTAATTCGATTATTCTCTTGGCCTCAATGATTAGTCTTACTGATTTATCAGGGCTTCGGGCGACTACCGCGCAGGCGCTAAAGTTAGGAACGCAATGACAATCCCGGCAGTGAATTGCGAGGTGGCCCTCTCTGCCATTTCTGACGTTGTTATTATGCTGTCTTAGCCTATCATTCAGGCATTGCTCGGTATGGCCTACGTACCATCTACCACACGAACAGGGGAACTCGTAGACCACACCCTTCTGACAAATTACATACTTGTTCTGGTGGTTCACATTGCAGGCCGGAGCTTTCCTGAGAAAGGGGAACAAATGCGTCATTGTTTCGTCGATCACTTTGTACAAGAAGGAATACTTGTTTCTAGGTAGAAAGGTGTGCAAGTGTGCTTGCAGTAAGTGTGCAGCAGGTGTGCTTGCAGCAGTTACCCAGCAAGTGTGCTTGCAGCAGTTACCCAACGAGTGTTCACAAAGGCTCTCAAAGGCCACTCTTCTAGCTTTCGCTGTGACTGTGCTGCCTCTCCCAAACGCCTGGCGTTTGTTCACATTTTTTTAGCACAGCGTAGCCAGCCAGTATGCAAACTGACTGACCTCTCCATCTTTCTGCCATTTTCATCTCCTATGAAGTTAGCAACATGAAATTTTCAGTTGAATTCATGAGTTCCGGAAAACGCATTAGATATTTTTTTTAGTATGTGGGAAGAAACTCGGTTCATGTATAGTGCTCATACAGTCTTTGTATCTACTTGTGCATTTTTTTTAATGGTGCCGCTAACAATAGGAGTTCAAGCAACAAACTAGCCTGCCTTACTGCTTGGACCAATTAAAAGTCCACTAAGAGTCCCGACCCCAGCCCATGAGTCAGGCATGAGTCAGGCATGACTCAGGCTTTCGGCATGTTCGTGTATGTCCACACTTATATCCCTGACAACAGCGAGCCACAACTTACCTCGTATTTTGCCCAGTCCCATGACGTGTTTGAGTGGGTTGGTCGTTCCACGTTCCCAAACTGGATTTCGTAAGTGGCCCGCCGAGACAAGATGTTGACTGGAAATTCCACCTTCAAAAAAAAAGAAACATTGGTAAAGGAAACGGTTTAAAAGTTGCAATATTGCAAGGTGACCACATTTTCATTCTCTTCGCATAGACACTGAAAATATCTCAAGGCATCACTTGAAGCGAAGCTGTACAAAATTCTTGCTGCCAAACATTTCAGCCAAATTGCAAGATTGGTTGGTTAAGTAGACAGACAGAACCATAATTTCAGCTAAAAACCAGAGGAAAACAATGAGTTTCACTATACTTCCACATCAAGCAGCTGCGCAGTGAACTATAGGTTTTTCCGGTCACTTTAATCCAAGTGCCAGCTTAAATAATCTGCACACTATTAAAATAACCTGAGCGCCAAACTATTTAATTTATGTGCAAAACATTTAATCCAATCACCAACTCAATAAGGTCGTGTGCCAGTGAATTCAATCCAAGTGCCACCATGTTTATTCCAATTGCTAACGACTTTAATGAAGGTGTCAGCCAGTTTAGTCCATGCACAAAAAGCAGAATACGGGGCGTAAAAGTTTGTAGATGAGGGCTTGGCTCGGGTGGAGTCACCTTAATGGCAACGAAAGAAAAAGCAGGGACATGTTAACGATTATGTTTTGTTCGTCACTAACGCTCATAATTGAATTTGTATAGCATTGCATGACCAGGACAGGTGATGTAATGCAAAGGGCAGACTATGGTTATAGGAAAGCCAAAATACATACCAAGATATGAAAAACCCGGCCGAGGGCAGTGATAGGTCAAGAGCACGTACATGCTTGAGTAATTAGGAGGCCCTCACAGGGCAGAGTGAATCAGAGATAATTCAAAGAGATTTTCGTCCTGCAGTGCACATAAGATGTAAACTAATGATTCTGATGTGAACAATGGAAGTCATATTCTGCAATCACATTAGCTGTTATCTTTTTATTCAAAAAAAATTATGTGTATCCGATAAAACACGTGTGTTTCAAGCAAACACGCTTCAGCAACACTAGCATCGTCTGTGACATAAAAACAGGAGTACTCCTTTGATGGTTTTATGAAAAAAACTTAATTTCATATGAACCCTAATAAATACAAGTTCAGTGTTTTAAATGGTTATTTCTGATTAAAGAATGGATGAATATCATCTATCGGTCACTATCATTATCACAGGGCCAAGAAGACGACAGCAAATAAGCAGCCAAATGTCATCTGCTCAGCAGACGACATGAGTCTGCACACGCAATGCTGTACACGATCAGCCAGAATAATGCAGTAGCGATGAAGCATAGACTAACATGTACTCTATGTGCAAATACATTTAGTACCCGTAAGTGTAACTAATACACAGGATTTTTTGAACTTGAAGTTATGAAACCAAGGCGTTAGGGGGAACTAGCACTGTACCTCCTTTCGTTAATGCTAGCATGTATAGGCAAGTGAAAAGTTCTTCCTGTCGCTCCACGTTTACATTATTCCAACATTTAGACTGTATAAAGTGGCAAACCATGTGTTTATGGTGCATGGATTAAATTGACTGACACCTGAATTAAAGCTGTTGGTAATTGGATGAAACATGGTTGGCACTTGGATTAAATTCACTGGCATACGGCCTAATTGAGTTGGTGCTCAGATTAAATATGTTGGTGCTTCAATTAAATGTTTGGAGCTCCTCTTTTGTGTCCCAGTGGTTGAGGGCAGGCACTTGGTCGTAGGTCTCCTGCCAGGTCTCCGGGTCTTCGAATGATGACCCACAAAAAGTTGGTGGCTCCGCTCCTTTGGCTGATGCATGAAGATCGCAAGATTGGTTATCATTGTCGCCGCACTCGAGCTCATGGCCTTGGTCTTCCGAGCTTTGTCTTGTAGAAGCCTGTACTCCGGTGGTAGATCTTGCTGCGTGAGGCTTCTTTGCTGCTCCTGGCTGGTGTTTGTGTCTTCTCCGCGACATTGGCTGGGTTCACGGCTTGACGGGGGTGTCCGGTACATGAACGAAGCCGTACCTTCACCAGATGCCACAAGGTCATGACTTGGACGAAGGAAGCAGACTGTAATTACAAGATGAAACTGTTTATTCAGCTGAACTTGTGGCTCAGAGACTGAAGGTCACAATACAGCAATGCCTACTGGCACTGATGGCGCCGAACAGAGCGACAGCCATCGATCAACTGACAAGCTGCGAAGCGCGTTGGCACTAACACTTGACATCGAATATTCTTGCGTTATCGCTAGCGGCGATGTAGGTTTCAGAATAATCTGTAATGTTCACAAAGAGGGCGTAATCTTAACAAAATGATCAACTGCAGTCTTGAAGCCTCTCGAACACTGTAGAAGCGGTTTGCGCTGAAAATAACTGAAAATAAAATGGGGCGATAACAAAGCTTGAAGTGAGAATGCGGCAATATTTTAAAGATGATAGTCTTTCTTGAGGAGCTTCAACAAAAAACTTTGGTCTGTCTGACTATTTGTCTATTTGTCCACCCTTTGCGATCCCCTAAAATCTAAACGGCACCTATCGATAACCGAAACCGCCGACCCCATCTGTAGCGCCCACTAATATTGTTCAAGGTTCAGCATTCATACTTGTGCAATTGTCAATTAAAAAGCAATTATTGCGCATATCTGAGGCACTATAACAACACGTCAATAGTCTGTATGAGTGTCTTTTTACAAAAAAAGGCAGACATAAGTATTTATAAGGACTGTAGCGCTTATCACGCTGCGCTGACGATGCAACGCTTACACGAAAATGCAAGTGTTTCCAACGCTTTGCTAAGACTGCACTGCACTCCCTAAGCATGCTCACATGCTCTGCATGCATGTTTGTCTGGTCGCCCTGCACGTCCAGCCTCACCTGTGACTTTCACCGAAAATTTAGGAAGATTTGAAGAACATTTTCACTGCATGAATCTCACCATAACCCAGAGCGTTTATTCGACAACCTTTGCGGGTACAAGTGATTTAAGCTGCCAAAGACAATGTCTTTGCTCTACTGCGTGTCAATGGTGAATGGCCGCATTACTATGACATTAAAAGTAAGGTGACGGCGTGAATCATATATGGATGTTACTGGTAAAAAGCACATTTGCTGTGGCAGTTGTGTCTTCTCGGATGCTGTCAGCAAACCCCACAATGCTTTCGCTTGCATTTGTGTGTTTATATATATATATGTGTGTGTGTGTGTGTGTGTGTGTGTGTGCGCGTGCGTGCGTGCGTGCGTGCGCGCGCGTGTGTGTGTGTGTGTGTGTGTGTGTGTGTGTGTTTTTTAATTCGATGGCTTGGATGCCAAGCTTGTCGTGTGACTTTAAATGTATTAGGGGGCCAGTGTGAAGAGCCTAACTTACATCTACCCTGTTGACAATGTTCAGTTTCATAAAAGTCTTACTTTTGCCGAGGTTTTCATCGGAAGTTAACAACGTCGCATCGAAAGATCAATGCTACCTCGAATTTTTTTTTACAGTTCCTTTGAAAGCAAAATGATGCGCACACAAAAAAGGTATTTTATACTGACTTCGACCATGCATGATTCCTGCAGCGCATGAATGTTTCATTTCAGACAATATTCACACCTGATCACGCAGCATGTTCACTGATTCGTATGTCGCTTGGTATTCGTCATATTATACAGTACCCACTAGAATTGAGCATGTTTTGGTTACAACGAGATTTGTCCCTGATAACTGCATCTAATTTCACAAAACAATTGAAAATTTTATTGCTGCCTTCATTCTTTGTTTCCCTAGTTTTCATAGTGGCAGGTGTATATTGTCCGCGGCTCAAGTGCATGCTAGGATAAACTATTTCATGTGCCAAAACTATGCTATCAATAGAAGGCACGCCGCGGTGTGAGACTCCAGAGTAATTCCTGCCACCTGAGGTTTTTTAACGTGCACCTAAATCCATTTGAAGCGTAAGGCAAGGTGCGATGACGACAACGAAGAGAGGGTACAGGCACCGAGTGCCACTTCTTTTTACATTGAGCGTCATGCAACCGCACGCTTCAAATATGCAATACCAACACGCCCCTGCCATTCTTGCATGTCAAACTAAGCTCAGTGCTACGTTTCGCGCCCATGAAAATGCAGCTGGTGCACGTGCAAATCGAACTCACGACTTTGATCCTAGCATCGCAACGTCTCAGCCCGCTGACTTATAGGTGTCGCTTGAAAGACCTGAACGTATAAACGCTCAGCGCTAACACATAGTATAAAACTGTCGACACTGAGTAGCGACGAAAAGTCTACAGCCATCAGCTGAATAAAACACTGGCAGGGCTCACGGTACGATATTTTAACTGTGGCATATTAAGCTAGCAAGCTCCGTCGCTGTCGCATTACAAATGATTGTCTCTGAAGCCAGTGCCCAATCTGGAAATGTACAGTGGTTGGCTATCTGCTGTGGCTTCAATTTACCATTGCACTTTCATTTTATGAGTTTGGCAATCACGTTTATCCCCGTTCATAGTTGGTAACATTGTGCAGATAAAAAATTCTTCAAAGTGACAAGACCGCGAAAGTACTGACAAACTGCCATAATTCACTCTTGAAGCCTTTGCTCCTCGCACTGCTTGCATTGAAAACAGTAGGACTTCACGGGCAGTTTACAGCTCTTAGTCATTTTTATTGTAGCAGCTCACAATGCAGCAGGGGCGTTTGCCTGCTTTCCAGGATGACGAAGGAGCGGCACCCATAGCGTGCACAATGCGAGATAAGATAGCCTTAAAGCACATGTTTTCTGTGGGCTATTGATGGGAAAACCAAGCAAGTGCAGCCCGTCCGAGTGATCGGAGCTTTACCCTCTCTCCGCTTGGTCGTCAAACGGCGCTGCGCGAACTTGAGCCTGTCTTGCCTATTAGGCGTGAGGACATATCGTGGCACCACCATGCAGAGGCATCCCTGTGATGTGTGTGGTTGGATTGCTCTGCTGCCCTCTCGTGCACAGCCCATAGTCGCTTTCACGTCTCCATTTTAAAAATTATTTTATTCTCGTACTTCACTGAATGAAATCCGTAAGGTCCTGCTGTAGCTTCTTCCCTGA